GGCTTCCCTGCTGGCAGAGGTCAGGATATGACATTAAAGGCCATGGACTAGGGGCTCTGACTGACCTTTTTTTAAAAAAAAAAAAAAAAGATTTATTTCTTTGAAAGAGAGGTACAGAGAAGGGGGGAGAGGCAGAGAGAGGGAGAGGGGAGGGAAGGAGGGAAAGAGAAAGAGGGGGTGGGAGAGGAGAGAGAAAAAGACAGAGGGAGAGAGAGAGAGAGAGAGAGAGAGAGAGAGAGAGATCTTCCATCTGCTAGTTTACTCCCTAGATGGTTACAGGGCTGGGCCAGGCTGAAGCCAAGGAGCCAGGAACTCCATCTGAATCTTCCATGTGGGCACAGGGGCCCAAGCCTGCATAGGTACGTTAGCAAAGAGCTGGATCAGAACTGGAGCAGCTGGGACTCCAACAGGCACTCCTAAGGGATGCCAGCATCTTAGGCAATGACTAACCCACTGCACCACAGCATCAGCCCCTGACCTCGCTCTTGGTCATGATGAAAGCTTGGGCAAAGCTTTTTCACCTCTTTGTGCTTCAGTCATCTTGCTAACATGGAGTTCTCGTGGTCTCTGATGTTCTGTGTATCCTGGGACTCAGCCCTCGCTTCGATGTATGGGGGGTAACAGCTTGCACTTCTTCAAAGGGTTCCTCTCCAGCCCCCTCCATTTATTACAAGGAATGGCACTAAGCTAACTGTGGATTGATACTGTACTGAGGATCCTTGAAAGATTCTTGATATGTTCAGAGGTGTGGGTCTCCATCAGTTGCATCTGGAGGCCATGGTGCATCTGTGCCATACTCAGATGGGGGAGTCACATCCCTGGGTCTTCCCCACGAAACTGGCAGCTGAGCCATGGCAGCCACTGGCAGGTGCAAGTGCTGGTAGTCAGCCCACACCTGAGTGGATTCTGGCTGGAGGCCTTGGGACCTACTGAATCCAGCCCAAACAGGGCAGAAAATCAGTGTCAGAGATGGCTGGAGGCGGGAGGAGTGGGATCAGCCCAGCTGACCTAGATGGAGGCAAAACTGACTCAATGAGGCTTGGAGGGACAGTTGCTGGCTCAAGTCACGCTCACCCCTAGGAATCTCCCTCCCTTGCCCAGTAAATGCCCATGCTATCCTGCTTGCCTTATAAGACCAAGATGGAATTCTTCCTCCCCTTCCAGGAAGCCTTCCCTGCCTGCCTGCACATAGGTCTGCCCTTCCTGGGGATGTCTGAGTCTCTCTGTAGCTCTCCCTCAGTAAGTTCTTTCTGAGTGCCAAGTTCTGCTTTCAGGGTATTATGTGCTTTGGGACTTCAGAAAACCCCGCCAGCTGTGGACCACGTCTCCTAGTGTGTGGACAAAGAATCAGGTGCTGAGAGACACGGTCATTTATCTTTGTAACCCATGATATCTGACGCCAAAGGAAATGCCCCTGGTACCCAGGCCAGTTCACCCTTCCTGGGCATACCCCTGGCCCCTTGATGGGCCACTCAAATGATTCCTTAAATGAACACCTCCTGTGTCCTCTCAATGGCCAAGTCCTGTCTGAGGCCTGGAGGGGGTGACTGGAACTAGGGAGCCTTGGGTCTCAGTTTGGCAAGACTTCAGAGTCAAAGTGAGTTTCTGAACCCAAGAGAGAAGCCATCACCTATGTGTGTGGCTGGGGCACGGGGCAGGAAAGAGGGGACAGAGGTGTGAAGCGCCTCCAGTGGCAGGGGGGCAAGGGGGATGGATGTGCTCATAAATGCCTTGGGTTCAAGAGGCAGAGAAAAGGGGAGGGGGAATGTTGCAGGCAGAAGGCGCTTTAGGAGTAAAGGCCCAGTGCAAGAGTCTTGAGTGGCTGGCGCCGCGGCTCAATAGGCTAATCCTCCACCTAGCGGCGCCGGCACACCGGGTTCTAGTCCTGGTCAGGGCACTGGATTCTTTCCCGGTTGCCCCTCTTCCAGGCCAGCTCTCTGCTGTAGCCCGGGAAGGCAGTGGAGGATGGCCCAAGTCCTTGGGCCCTGCACCCCATGGGAGACCAGGATAAGCACCTGGCTCCTGCCTTCGGATCAGTGCGGTGCGCCAGCCGCAGCGCGCCAGCTGTGGCGGCCATTGGAGGGTGGACCAACGGCAAAAGGAAGACCTTTCTCTCTGTCTCTCTCTCTCACTATCCACTCTGCCTGTCAAAAAAAAAATAAAAAAAGAGTCTTGAGTAAGGAGCTGTCCAGCCTGTCGGCTTGAGGTGTAAAAGGGTGACGGGAGGTGGGGACAGAGGCTCCTGATGGACTGCCTATCCCTTGGAGTGGCTCATAGAAGATTCTCAGTGCTTTCTGGCTCACAGAGCTGACCTCCCCTAAGCCCGGGCCCCCTGCTAGGGTCAGGTGACTCGCTGCTGACTGCAGCTTCACCTGCCCCTGCCACCCCCCACATCTTCCAGAACGGAAACCTGGGGCCAAGCAGTAAGCTCCAGCCGTTCCTGCAGAGCTCATCAATGTGCCTACTATGGAAGTCCTCCTGTTTCCTGGGAAGCTTTGATTTTTTCCTCCTAAGATCTTAACCCTTGGCTGGAGCCAGCTGCCAGGAAGGATGCTGCGAGCATCAAAAGTTGGAACGTGGAGATGCTTACCACTAGTTACCCTTAATCCCTCCTCTCCTTATTTGTCTTCCTTTAACGGCCTGTCAACCCAGTCTCCAGACTTTCCCTCGGCGCCTGCAGCCTCAATTAGGTACACATCTGCGGAGGCTGCAACCGAAATGCCCAACTGCCAATGCCCACCCGCTGCACCCAGGCTGGCCACAGGTGCCTGAGGGCGTGGGAACTCTTCAGGGATAGACAGTCCTTGTGGTGCTAAAGGGCAGGGAGGCTGCCCTGGACATTTCTCAGGCCCCTGCAGAGTGTGCCTCGCAGGGCATCCAGGAGGAGTGATGTCTTTCGTGCTGTCCCCTGGGGCCATGAACAGAGCTATCTGTTCAGTAACAGGTGCAGAAGGACCCTACAGGCCAGCCTTGTCTTGGGCATGTGGAACACAGGGGTGTTGAGGACAGGCGTCAGCAAGAGGGGCTGCTTAGTCCTGGCTTGTTGAGACTACTGTGCAGGACCTCTGCCCTTCTGTACAGCCTGGAAGGACTGGGGCAAGAGGCCGCACCTAGCTTATTCAGACACCTGGCTCAGTGAGGTCCTGCTTTTCCCCTCTTAGAGCTGGCCTCCCTTGGCCTCCCAGAGCCCTCAAGGCCTCTCCTGTCCACTGGGCCTGAGGATTATTAGGGGTCTGAGGCCCAGGACTCCATGGCCCCTGCACTGCCTTCCTATGATGTTACGGGAGCCTCATAGTTTGGGGCCTGCTGGAAAAAGTTAATCTGACCTCTGAGGCTCACTCACTTCAGTGGAGGAGGAAAGTCCCCCAAATGAACAAAACCGCCGTTCGGATGAGCTCGGATGAGCCGGGGGTTGCAGAGTGGAGGGGACCCAAGGCAGGCCTGGGAACAAGTGAAGTCTGCCCTGGGCCCTGTTGCCGGCCTCCCTACCTCTGCCCTCTTCAGGTCAGGGGCTGCAGCACTTCCCTGCTCACCTGCAGAGCCAGGGCGAAAGTGGACCACCGGAGGCCCAACCAGACAGCAGGAGGCAGGGGCTCCTGGGTGTCACTCAGCTGTGCTGCTCGGCTGCTTACTGTCCCTCGTCCCGTGCGATAGGCAGAAGGTGTCGGCAGTCGCGGCGCAGGTTGCAGGGCTGTGCGGGGATGCCGCCCCCCAGCTCAGAGAACTGCTGTTTATCAAGCAGTCCTCCCCGGTCTCCTTCGTCCTGGCCATGGAGGTGGGCACCCGCGCAGCATTCACCCCGGGGCCCACCAGCTGCAGAGTTGGAACTGACACCAGCTCAGCATTCTCCCCGCAGAGGGAAGAAACAAACGTCGGGACCGCGCAGGAGCGAGCTCCCTGGACCTAGAGGAGTTTAGAGACTCTTAGGCTCTGGGAGCTGGGGCTGGGGGACCAGGGCAGCGGAGTAACTCATCCCGGCACCCGCTCCCCACCCAAAGCCGGACCCACGCGGCTGCTCAGGGCAGCAGTAGGTCCGGCCCTTTCTTTCTGTCAGGGGCTGAGCCTCCAAGGTATGCTTTGAGTTCGACCCCGCGCCCTCTTTCCTGGCCTGCCGAAGCCTGCCGAAGCCTGCCGTTGCACCATTAAACCTATGACTCCCGGCCTTCAGCCTGTTGAAGGTCGAGCTCCCGAAGGGTCACACGTGCGCCCGCCAGGGGTCGCAGGGCCCGGGGGCTCTGCTCAAAAACCCGGGCGAAGAGGCACACCATGGGGTGAGGCGAGGGGCCCGGGCGCACCCTGGGCGCCGGGACCGCGGCGGGGGCGCCGGACGCGCGCGCCCGGGCTTCAGTCAGCTGCACGGGCCGCCGGGGCAGGCTCGGGGCTGCGCAGGCACGAGGGGCGCGCGGCCGCGGCGGG